TCGCTACGGTGTCGGGCTTGATGGGTTTCGGTTGTTGGTACTGGGATTGTGGGAGAGGGAGTGGGAGGGAGTGGGAGAGAGTGGGAGAGAGGGAGGGAGGGAGAGAGAGTGTATATATATATATATATATATATGTATGTGTATGTGTATGTGTATGTGTGTGTGTGTGTTTGGTGTTGGTCTGGTTGTTTCTTTAATGAAGGGAGATGAATGGCGTGGACTTAGTTGGGAGAATTTGATTTGATTTTGATTTTGATTTTGATTTTGATTTTGATTTTGCTTGGGAGCTTGGGAGCTTGAAAGGGGTGTTAAGGATAGAGATTTTCCTTTTTGGGATGAGGGATGAGGGATGAGGGATGGATGGGCTAATAAGTAGGTAATAGGCGATTTTAGTATTCGGGAATTTTAGTAGTAAGTAGTAGGTGGTTTTAGTAGCTTGTGATGAGAATGCAAATGGATGATGGGTAGATGGGTAGATGGATAGGTGGATGAATGGATGAATGAATGAGATTATTCTTCATACTTCGGTATCTAGTAGTGAGAAGTAAGACGTGAGAAGTGAGAAGTAATGAGATGGAGGAGAAGGTAATAAACAGAGGCGTAATAATCACCATGGTTTTTTAATATGTGGGATTACCTACCTACCTACCTACCTACCTACCTACTTGAGATCCATTTTCATTTAAAGTTCTGAATTTATGCACTTTCCCAATCGGATCGATATAGGTAGGTAGCTTTTCGAATGTGATAGGGAAGGGAGAGAGGAGAGAAATGTATGTACTCGGTATGTAAGGTTACTACGTACCCGAGTATATATGTAATCTTACATATGTATATATATGTCTTGTGTTCAATGTTGTTTTGTATAATTACCTACAACTTAACTTATACTAGATATACTCTGTACTTTATGAGGAGGCGAATTCCCACCACCTACCGAGTATCACAAAACAAGCACTTAACTTATTAACGACCCAGATCGGGAAAACTCGTAGCCCCTTCTAGAATTGAGGAGGAACAACTCGGTATGGTGTGTGTGTGGTCTTGTACCTTGTTGGGCCTGAATTTTCAAGGGATGGGTATCCAATGGGATGAATGGAAATTGGCATTTTTATGGGGGTGGAATCATCCAGGTGTGAATAAGGATAAGGTCGGAGTACGATACATTACTTATTATGGGCTTTGGTTGATCATCACCTAGTAGGTAGCTTGCTTCTCTTTAGGTTGGTGCGAATGAGTGGATGGATCATGGATGTCTTTCTGTCGATATATAGATAGATAGATAGATAGATGCGTACGAAGGAAGCCATTTGATTTGGATTTTTACGTGGTCATTTTTTCAAGTTACTTCTAACTCTGACGATGATGAACTTTGAACTTTGAACTTTGTATTTATGAGTGAAAGTTTGAGTTTATATTTTATATTTTACAACACAAACCTATCTTGAAATCTTATTATTTTTCTCGCATGGGACTGAATAGAGTTTGATTGTATCGACTTTGATTGATTGATTTCATTAATTGATTCATCATAAAATCGAGTCCATTGATGCTGGCTTACGACAAACCCAACTCCTGAATCGGACTGGCTAAACCATCCATTCTTACCCACAGAATACACCGAAACTCAAAACATACGACAAGGTGACGCATCTACCCAGCGACACTTTACAACGAAGAAGGGAAAGCATATCGCTTCTTTACCTATACTACCATTTGAGATTCGTCTCATCAAGATAGTAACACTACATAAGACATCCCAAAGTCAAAACGAATCATCATGAATTGTCCCTCGAGAACAGATGAGCCGTTGGAAGGCGATGGATATAATCAGAATCCAAACGCCTTGGCAAATGACCTCACCACCCGAGAAGATTTGAACGGTCGAGCAAACGGAAGAGCATTGAGGAGAAGTTTGGAAGATGAAGGCGTAGAGTCAATTCACGATCTGGTGGAGGATACGGGAGATGGGAAGGCGACGGGGAGTGCGAAGGGTGTTGGAGGGGGGGCTGGGGGTGATGGGGGCGGTGGAGATGGAGATGGAGATGGAGGGAGAGGCGGTGGAGGTGGGAAGAGTGGTCACGTGGTTGATCCTTCTGTCGAAACTCTCGATATCCGAGATCAATCGAGAGGTAGAAGGGGAACAGGCCATGGAAGAAGTTGTCTCCATGTGTCGAAAGAACAAGTCGTGAAAATGAAGCAAGTCATGGTCAAATTTGCAAAATTCGTGGGTCCGGGCTTCATGGTACGTAATTTGCCACCTCTCCACCAATGTCCATTTTTGAAATCACAATGTCAAAAAATGGGACTTCATTTATATTGATGCGTTTCCATAGGTTGCCGTGGCATATATCGACCCGGGAAATTATGCGACGGATGTTGCTGCAGGGGCAACTTATCGATTCAAACTTTTATTTATTGTGTTGATGTCAAATGTCTTTGCGATCTTTTTGCAAAGTCTTTGTATCAAGTTGGGTACTGTTAGCGGATTGAATTTGGCAGAGGCTTGCAGAGCTTTCTTGCCAAAATGGATGAATTATGCCTTTTATATTCTGGCTGAGGGTGCAGTATGAGCTTTTCTCCCCTTTTGCATCTTCCACTTGACTGACCAATGATAGATTATCGCTACAGATATTGCAGAGGTGATTGGTACAGCTATTGCCATCAATCTTTTAATACCTCAAATCCCCTTGGTTGCTGGTTGTGCTTTGTCGATCCTTGATGTTTTGATTCTTCTCGTGTTTTATCCTGGAAATGGTGAAATGAAGAGGTTAAGATATTTCGAACTATTTGTGGCGGCATTGGTGTTGGGTGTTGTTGTTTGCTTTTGCATCCAGCTGTCACTGATCAAAGATACTTCGGTAGGAGAAGTTTTCAAGGGATACTTGCCTTCCAAAGCAATTGTAGAGCAAAAGGGGTGAGTACTTGCTATTCCATTCATCTGAATCTCTACTAACGCACATAAGACTCTACCAAGCATGTGGTATTTTAGGAGCAACTGTCATGCCCCACAGTCTCTATCTAGGAAGTGGCATTGTCCAACCACGACTCCTCGCTTATGACAAGGATAATAATATTGTCAAAAAAGATTTCGATCTAGGTACCAAGGATCCATACTACCCTTCTCTTCCCGCCATCAAATTCTGTCTCAAATACTCCTACGCCGAGCTAGCAATTTGTCTCTTCACTTTCGCCCTCTTTGTCAATTCCGCGATTCTCATTGTAGCCGGATCAGCTCTCTATAACAACCCTGCCGCTCCAGAGGCTGATCTTTTCGGTATCTACGATTTACTCGTATCGAGTATTTCGAAAGGTGCTGGAACCATTTTTGCTCTCGCTCTGTTATTATCGGGTACGAGTGCCGGCATCGTTTGTACAATTGCCGGACAAATGGTTTCAGAAGGTGCATTAAACTGGACTCTTAGACCTTGGTTACGACGTCTTGTAACCAGAAGTTTAAGTATCACACCTAGTATCATCATTGCCGGAGCCGTTGGTCGTGAAGGTCTATCAGCTGCTCTGAACGCTAGTCAAGTAGCTCTTAGTATCGTTCTCCCATTCGTCACGGCACCGCTCATCTATTTCACTTGCCGTAATAAATATATGACGGTGAGATGTCAAGGGAGGCCAATCGCTTTTGCAAATGATGATGAGAATATGAGGGGTAATGGAGATGCAACGATGGAGACTGAAAGTGTGTACGAGCATGAAGGCGCGGGTTTGGGGGTGGAAACGGGCGAGGGAACGAAAATGAGAAATCATTGGATTACGGCCGCCGTGGCGGGAGTTATTTGGACCATTATGGCGGCGATGAATGTGGCGAATTTGGTTTTGCTTGGGAAGGGTGATGGGGTGTGAGATGATGTTGGGGTTGAGCTCTGGGAGAGGGTAGGGGGTAGGGGAAGAGGAGAAATGGTAGATTGTGGTTGTATGTGGCGGAGGAGAGTTGCATGAAATTTCAGGGAGGAAAATGAGGGGAAAGATGAGGGATGGATAGCTGGACGATGACGATGATGAAGAGCAGAAAAGTGCAAAGAATTATTGCTACCTACTTCATTTTAGAGTAATGGCATCATCACAACAGTATATACATATGCAGATAGTTAGCTATCTATATCTAGTAGATATGCTTGAATACGAATATGAAGTTTGTCATGAAACCCTTGAGCTTTGAAAGTTTGAAGTGTTGTAGGGGTTTGTAGTGGATTGTGTACGTTGCATATAGCATGTTGCATATAGTACATCTAGGGTTGAAATGACGGTGTCCTTGGAAGGGATGAATTTACCCATGCTAGACAAGTCAGTCGACGACTTGGAATAGGAGATGATTTTGTATATTGAAAGTTAGCATGAGGCAGCGACTTTAAGAGGGAGTGTCGCACAAAATTGGCCGAATCACAGATGTCGAGACTGCACGGGATCAATAAGCTAGCATGTATTTACTAGGTATATATGCACCCGCTTGCCAAAGATTGTGTTAACCATCCGTCAGCACTCTAAATCAACATCACTCAGAACAACTTCACGATCCGCGACAGTAGCTTAGTGGCCCGCATGAATTTTGGCAGTCCGAATTAGCTTCCAACCTCGAAAAGCAGCTTCATCATGGATTCCAAACGCTGATTTTCCAGGGCCTGCGAGGAGAACCCAGGGAAAAACAAGCCCGTGACTCGATTGGCAATGGCCAGCCTGCTCTAAAAGTAGTGCACAGTGTTTTATCGACACAATCTTGCTGTACCAATTGAATTCCCCGGAAACTCCTAGAGGAGCCACCGCTAAATCGATATCCGCAACATAGAGAGCACCCCACGGCCTCTGTATCCTCTTGCTGCACAATCAACAACGTCTACTCCGATGACTCGGACGCCAGTCTCAAAATCTGGGGAAACACTTTGGAGTCGGGCGGACCCGTCTTTGTTGGGAACAGTCCTGATCCATTGGAAACATACGAAAAATTGCTTCTCCGTACCGATTTTCAGAATCTGGACAGAGAAGAACAAATGGCGAAAGCGAAAGCGAAAGCAAAAGCAAAAGCAAAAGCAAAAGCAAAAGCAAAAGCAAAAGCAAAAGCAAAAGCAAAAGCAAAAGCAAAAGCAAAAGCAAAGCAAAAGCAAAAGCAAAAGCAAAAGCAAAAGCAAAAGCAAAAGCAAAAGCAAAAGCAAAAGCAAAAGCAAAAGCAAAAGCAAAAGCCACATGTGGACGCTTATTTGAGCGACACAAGAATTTCCACTAGGAAAACACTTGGCAGAGCTCGTTGCTCTTCAAGAAGAAATACAAGATATGTTGAGCACGCTGGAAGGACAGAAGAAGCATTGTTAATCTTTGACAATATGCGGTGTATGTGGCCGCAGGGCCAGAACCAGATTTTCAAATCCTATGCTGTGATTTCCTCAAGGCATCGGAATATCTTTTCCTCTATCACACGATGAAAACCGGCTAAGGGCTCGTTTGAATGTTATTTCTAATCGGAATCTTTTAAAGAATTCAGCTTTTTCTATCATGGCAAATTCCGCAATAGTACTTTTCTACCCTCAAAAAAAAAAAAAAAAAAAAAAAACGGATTCTTGTATTTCGTTTTTCTATTTGTATATTCAATTCTAATGTGAAGTTTATAGAAATGAAATATATATATAGTATATATATATATTTATATAGTGAAGAAATTCGAATTTTTAATTTACTATTATCATTTGAATAAATAATCAAATAAATGAATATATACAAGAATAGTTTTATTTCAATTAAAACTATAAATATAGAACTAACTTCATTTAATCGAAATTAAATTCAAACTTTAATTTGAAAAAAAAAACGAGAAACTTCAAACTATATTTACTAAAATTTTAAATTATAAAATTTTATAAAAGTCTATAAATTCATGAAAATTTTATTTAATTGAAAACAATAATATTTCTTGATTATTGTTTTCAGTTTATGTTTTCATTTTTCTATATAAATAATTAAATTTATTTGATAAATTAATTCACTAGTATCTTTTTTGAAAATTAAATTCCTAATTTTATTTAATATATTAAATATATTAAAAACAAAATTATTCAACAAAATTTGCAATTTGATATTCAAACAGGTATTTAGAATCTATTGTCAAAATGAATGGATTATTCAACGGAATCTAACCGGAATTGTATATTCAAACTACCCCTAAAAATATCTCATCATAGAGAAAAGCCTTAAGCTATAGCATGAAATTCTCGAGTATAAGAGAAAGAGTAGAAGCAACGATAATTCCATACTCTTAAACTCTCTATTTGACCTAGCGAAAATACTCCTGGAACTCGACATCTGATGAAGCAGAACAGTTGTATCGGGCGGTGATTGACATGCAGGTGAAACTCCTAGGAGAAGCCCATGCTACGAATTTGGAAAGAAACATCAAGTTAGCAGAACTTTTGGAAAAAAACGACCCAGACGGAAGAAGCAAATAGGCTGTATACAGAAACCTTAAGTATGAGTTTTCCGCCTCATTTCTGCAATGCTTTCGGTTACTGAGGCTCTTCAGGATATAAATACATTCGATGAGGCCGAACACTTTTTCAAAAGACTTTGGCTGCAGTGTGCAAGACTTCTAAATAACGCTGAGGCATCTTGGGAAGAGGGAGAAAGCGGAAAGACTGGCAAGAGATGCACTGCAAAGGTTGAAAGAATCGCATGGGGAGCAAAGCATAAAATTTCGGAAGGCGAACGAGACCTAGAGCTTCAGCTGATGATATCAACATAGTCAGAAGCTGGATGCTTATTATGAGCAGGTTCTTGGGGGCCGTGATTATGTTATGGATGAGGGGAGGTATGCGGCGTGGAGAGCCTGGAGGGTGAAGTGCCTGGGTGAGGAGATGGTGAGAAGATTTAGTATGAGAAACTCTGGGATTGGTAAGGGGTCGGGACAAGAATCGGAATCGGAATCGGTAAGAGAAGACGAAATAGGGTACGTGCTAAGTAAAATTTCTGATATTCTCCGAAGTAAATAGAAGGAGGCGAAGGATGTGGATGCCTAAGGCATCCATGTGAGTACTGCACGCAACAAATTCGTGGCACTAATATCGTGATTTATTATACTATCATAATATAATGTGAGCCCAACCTATTCACTCGCTGTATGCTAATAACTGAGTTGTTTGCTTGACGTGACTCTGCATTGAATTGCATTATGCCACGTCGTTGGTCATCGCTTTTCGGGCAATCGCTATACTCGATTTCATAACTAGCTTTCAAAACGTAACTTTTCTATACCTCATCAAAACCATTTAAATATTATATTTCTATTATTCATTTTATAATAACTTTATTAGTTTAGTATTGAATTCAATGAAAATAATATTTTATAATAAATAATGATTAAATTTATTATAACGTAACGTATGGGGAACTCGGACATATGGGGAACTCGGACACTTTTAGCCCATCACCAACTTGAAACCGCAATAACTTTTATTATGCATACCCAATCACCTTCTACATCTGCTCAAATTGAAGAGAAGCTTCAAAAGGCTATAATTTCACTTCAATTGAAAGAATTTAAATCAATTAGAAAGGCTGCAGAGCATTTTGAAGTCCCTAAGTCTACCCTAGCTGATAGGCTGGCTGGGAAGAAAACACGTTCCCAAACCCACGAAATGGCTCAAATTCTTTCAAACGCAGAAGAAAATACTCTTGTACGATGGATTTCACGACTTACCATCACTGGATTCCCTGCTACACCTATGTTGGTGAAGGAAATGGCCGACGAAATTCGTCTTCGACGCGTTCGGGTCGCGTCATCTCGAAATCCTACCTCGACAGAAATTCCACCTATAGGCCACGAATGGATCTATAGATTCCAAAAACGACATCCAGAACTTAAAACATGCTATTCACGTCAATTAGAGTCTAATCGGGCTAAAGAAGCAACTCCGGAGAATATTCAGGCTTGGTTTGACGCGTTTCGCACGCGTCTCATTGAGCGAAAGTATGAATTAGATGATATGTATAATATGGATGAAACCGGATTTGGAGTTGGAAGTACTCAAAGTACGCGCATTATAGTCGATTCTACTCAGAAATCGAATTGGAAAGTTACAGCTGGCAAGCAAGAATGGATAACTGCATTTGAATGTGTCAATGCAGCTGGAAATGCTCTATCACCTATGGTCATTTTCAAGGCTCAGAATACGAATTCTTCATGGATTCCAAAGGACACACCTCAAAGCTGGCAGTTCTCTACTAGTACAAATGGATGGACCTCAAATAGCCATGGATTAGAATGGTTAAAAAGGGTTTTCGAACCAGAATCCAAGAAAGTGTCAGGTGACCGACCTCGACTTTTGATCATGGATGGCCATTCAAGCCATATTACAGGTAGCTTTATTGCTTTCTGTATAGATAATGATATTGATTTACTTATATTACCTCCTCATTGCTCTCACTTGCTTCAGCCACTTGATATTGCGGTGTATGGGCCAATGAAACGATATCATGCTTTAGAGGTCGATCGATATTCTCGAGCTGGTGTAAAGCGAATCCAAAGAGCTGAATGGGTAGAACTCTTTCAAAATATTAGAAAAAAAGCATTGAATTCTTCTAATATTAAAGCTGGCTGGAGAGGAGCTGGTTTAGTACCTTTTGCCCCACGAAAAGTACTCGATTCATTACCATTTAACTCCTCCCAGCAACCTTCTACTCCACAAATGAGAACCCCCAATCAAGACCTAGACTTGTCTATACTCAGGAGTTCTCCTCCAGATGGAACAGAACCAAGGCAAGCAAATCAGATCTTTAATACAGCTCTAGCAAGCAGTGGTTCTCCTGCATCGCCAACTCGTCGATATGCCAAGAGAATGACTAGGCTTGTAGAATCTCAAAATGCTGAGATAGCCCTACTTCGGAAACAGCTCTCTGATGCTCAGGAGGTAATTGAGACTCGAAAGAAAAGAACTAAAGGCAAAAGAGTCAAATTACAAGGTCAATTTGTCTTTAGTACTAAGGAAGTATTGAAAATGGTACGTGAGGCGGAGGAAAAACCGAAGGAGAAAAAGCCACGAGGACGGCCACGCAAACGCCTAATTGAAGAATCAGAAGAAGATATTGAAGAAGAAGAGCTAGAGAATAGTTCAAGTGATTCGGAATTGGAATTGGAGGATTGTGTGGCTCGTAGAACAAGATCGCGTGTAGAATAATTGAAAAAGTGTCCGAGTTCCCCATACGTTACGTTATATTTAATTTTCAATTAATTTAGAATTATATTGATTGAAATAGAAATTTATAAATAAAAATCTAAAAACTAAAAGCATTCTTTCAAAAATTAGTTATAAAAATCTTCAAAATATTATATTATTTTAAAATTATTATTATTTCATTTATATTATTTCAAATCAATTTAAATTTAAAAAATTGATTCAACAAAATGATAGTTTTTATTCAATATAGAAATTTTTGATTTTGAAGCTATATTAATAAAGTTAGGATTTTATAATTGATTGAATACACCAATTTGACTTTACGATGGGAAATATACTTGGCCTCACAAATGACTATATCAGCTGGAATATTGAGAAAAATCAGACTACGGATCGAATCAGGAACGGGGTGAGGGTACTAATCAGACAGCACAATATATCACCTGATGCTGCGAGATCACTGCTTCTCGGATTGATAGTTGAGGAAGAAAAAAAAGCTGCCAGACTCAAGAAAGAGCGCTTGGAGCGACCGGTTTCACACGAGCTATCGAGGTATTTTGAGGCTATTGAGCTCTATGTTGGCGGAAGTTGCTTTTGGCATGCGACGGCGCCTCACTATCGCATTTTTGAATGAGGATGTGACTTTTTTGACGAAATTCTCTTGCTTACGCTGGGCGGATGTGGAAGATACCAGGTTATCTCTTATTTCGTTTTGACACAGTTGAATTCTAGCCTTTTAAACTCCGGGCAAGTGCTTGGCGATACACTTCAAAGACCAGAACCATTTCACTGTGATTTTCCCCTGGCGTGGAATACTCTCTACTTCGCATTAGAGTTATCAATCACGCTCTGAAAGCCTCAACCGATCTTACTCATACACGATTTAGGTTTATGCAGATATGTATACATATTAAGATCACAAGACACCTGGTGGAAATAGTAGAAGATCCCACTATTTCTGCTAAAACCGAATGATAATCTACAGTCTATAAAGTTGTATTTATAGTGTATAGAGTTTGCCATTTCAAAGTTCTTTTTTGAACGCCTATTTATCGGAAATGAATAGTGGATAAATAAGATCTCTTGGGTATCACATGAGTTATTATCATCTCCTCTCTAAGATCTATAGACAAGCAGAGAGTCATTCCTCCCAGAAGACAGTGAACGAGCTTTTTGATTACATGATCAAGCCCAAGTTTACGGAAAATATAATCATAATCCTCGCTAGATGTAAGTCAAAGTACCCCCTACCCTGAATACCCCCTCATTTCGGACACTCTGATTAAGCGATTTTCCGGAGTATTAGAATTATTACTTAATTATTTGATTATCGAATAACTACTCCATTTGAGTATAATATAGGGATTAGATATTCTATTTTTTTGTATATCTTCCTCTTTATCTTTAGCTTGTTTAGCTTTCAATTCAGCTTCTATAATCTTTTTAATATTTATAAACTTGAAATTGAGACTTTTTTTAAATAATCTTATACTTTCTGGACCTAGCTTTCTCTACTTATATAAATAAAGAATATATTTAAGCTCTTGATCTTCTAGAAAAAAGTCTCTAGGTTAAAAGATTGAAGTTCTCAAGTATATCTTTTTAATCTCTTTTATTTGTAAATTTTCTGAATCTTGTAAGTGTTTTGTTCTTCTTTTCGTTCAATTATTATTTGATTGACTTTGAATATCAAGTAAAGAATTAAATGAGTAATTATATAATTTATATCTAAAACTAGTAATCTACACCAAAACATTGAAATTTGTAACTATTTGTCTCTAAAGACGTCATATTTTGCGGGGAGGTAGAGTGTACGCCTCACTTCCCCGAGAAATTCTTGACACTTTTTTGAGCGATTTTTGTTAGGTTGGTAGTTCTAAGAATCTTGAAATTTAAAGAAATTCGCCTTTTTTCCCTTTGGAAGAAGCTTGTGTTGTGTTGACACACAATATGCCTGCAGCGTAATGATAATAAAGTTAACCTGATATTCAAAGGTATCTTGACATGTAAACAATCAAAATTATCCTTGTTTAAAGAAAGCAATTTGACTGAAATATGAATACAGTGAATTTTGGGTATAGGGTGCCACATTGACACCTCCAAGATTGACTAGGTATTGGGTTGCGTCAGATGCAAGGCCATAGATCGTAATGCCGGTACTTTTGGTGTCGATGCTAAATGAAACCTCGGCGCATGTTGAAGAGGTTGTACAATCTGAAGGAGGTAGTTAGTATTGGGTTGGTTATAAGGACAGCGTCCTTTGTCAGGGACAGGATGAAAGTGCTACTTACCAGTGCTCCAGTCGTGAAAATATGTAAAATAAGAAGACCCATACACTACAATGTCGTGTGAGTTGGTCATGATTTGCGCCCAAGCGACTTGTCGAGAAGCACCATTGGTGCCGTTAAGAGGCCCAGAAAAGAAAGGATCACTTAATTGCTTTTTATAAGGGTAAGGATAAGAGGCGATTGGATTCGGCTGGTAGTAGGGCACTTCTGTCTGTGCCATAGACATGAAGATATTCTTGGTGTTGGCGAAGTTGTACTGGTACTTGGAGTGGTGCTCCGAGGGTATATTGATGAACCAATTGTCCCCAGCCGCACTCTCGACCAGTATGCCTCTTCCAGTAAAGATCTGAATCTGGGTGACATTGCGATCGTCGATGTCGTGGTCTGCAGCCCAGTGCCAGCAGTTTTCCAGATAAGCTCCAGTAGCGCTCTTAGTAATGTGCATCGACATGAATGCGGCCATGCAGTTGGCATTAACAGGCGGCTTCTTCACTCCTGGCGTCGTCGGGCACTGTGCAACCTGCAACTCTGAGCCTTCCCAGCCACCAATGCGAGTATGCACGTCCCAGTAACCACCGACTCCTGAAGTGGAAGAGGCAAGATTGTGCTCGATGAGAATGGCACCAGCAGTGCCACCTTGGGTACCTAGGACAAAGTCGACGAGTTCAGTTGCTCCGCGCTCGCCGGGTCGGCCAACTTGAAGCAGAGGCTTTGGGTGATCAAGAGACTTGAAGTATTCCCCAGCAGCAAAGATGTTTGGGAAGGCCTCGCCAACGATCTTCGTGTTACCGGGGATGTATAGTGTTCTCGTTACCTTGTAGCTACCGTGATCGAGAAAGAGAACCTTCGACTGTGCAACAGCGTTGAGAATGGCTGCTTGAAGAGCCGCTGTATCGTCTGCTATTCCATCTCCCTTTACACCAGCAGACCGTGCGCTGATGAATGAATCGACGGCAAGGCTTTCATATCCGGGTTTGGCCTGGGCGAACCATTTTTGAGAACCAGGCTGAAGGAGCCCGCTTGGTCGCTTCACTGGAATTAACGATCCTGAAAAGTTGGAGGCGATGTTATTCTGCAGCTTATTACCTTGGCCCCATCCTACGATGGTGCCATTTCCACCTGCGAGCGCCGCGCCTTTACCGGCTAGCTGTACCAGGGTGGTCACATTTTGGTAGTCTACATTCTCGAGTATTAAACTCCCCGCCGCTGCCGACTGGAAGAGGGGACTCCCACGGATGGAATCAATGCCAACCTGAACATTCTTGAGCGAGCTGTCAATCAAAGAGACTGCCCCGGTGGCAATGGACATTTGAATGCCTGTGGAACAACCATTGAAGGCAACACCCTGAGCCGTAATCCCGGTACAAGTCTGGAGATTGAGCCCAGTGACACAATTGTTGAAGGTGACATTGCGAAGATTTGCTTGGCCACCAGGGACTATAAATCCATCATGACCGCCATTGAAGACGAGGTCACTGTAAAACACCTCCCCTCCTGCACTTGTGAGTTAGTAGAGACACCACAAACTTCCAAATTGAGAAAAAACAAAGTGAAGCTCACCACCTCCCGTAAGCCCAATGTGCTGGACTCCCTCAATGGTAGGCATGTTGACGACTATGTTATGAAGACTAGTTGCTTGTGCTGATGGCCAGTTGATCCCTGTGATGTTGATACTTGGAGGTGCCAAGGTCGTATCAATGACAAAATTCCGGAGCTGTCTGAAAAATATGTTTGCGGGCACCGCAGCAGATGATCTGTACCTCGTTAACTCATGCGCGCAAGGTCTTCGTGAAAGTGAAAACTAACGGGTTACCATCAATCAATCCTATTGTCCCCGGTGCATTTTGGAAAGCGGGAAGTGCCTTAATGACTGGTAAACAGTTCGGGTTCCCATGCAGAGAGACCCCATAGTTCTGAATAATAGTAGAGTTCACCATGTAGGTGCCTGGTGGGAAGTATACCAATGCCTGGGCTGTCTTTAAATTGTGAGCGGGGAGGGTGACCTCTTAGAATCAGAGGTGCCGGGTCCCAGAAGGAGGCCAGCAGCCTACAGCGAACAACAACTTACAGTGGTCGACACACATGAGCTAGGGGCACAAGTATTACCACTGCTGATGGCAGCATTGATGGCGGCTGTATCATCCGTAGAGCCGTCTCCTTTGGCACCAAAGTCTTTGACATTGCGAAAGACCTGGAATTCACGGGGGTTTGGATTGAAGGCTGCAATGCCTTGGTGTTTGATATCCTCAAGCCAGTAGCTACAAGAACGAGAGTGAGAGTAGGGGGAATCGTCCGAATCTCCCTGACCGCCGCTCGACCCGGCTCTCACAGAGTCCAGGAAGAAAAGGCAGGCAAGGAACTTCAAGAAGACCAATCTGAATGCCATTGAAGAGGGTGTGAATGGAATGATAAATGTTGGTGTTGGATTCTTTGATAGAGCTCCTGTTCTCTCTTATATAGCATTGGTAATGCTCCAGGGCAAGACGACTTGACAGAGTCCCCATGTCCCTGTTCCTGTGTTTGTCTGATCTCAACCGCTACTTCATTTTAGATTATCATGGAATCCAAAGCTTTCCAGTCCCACTACTATAGTTGGAAATCATCCGAGCTTCTAAACTCTGACGTAAATTACTCCTTTAATAGGATTAAAGCACTGTAGGGAAGCTTTCTAGTGCTGAAAAGGGGTATAAATAAGTGATATTTGTGCTGAAAGTAGTAGAGCTTTAACATAAGCGAACCATTCAATTGATTCTTTTTCCGAAATTCTCCATCTAATACAGTGGGATTGAAAGAAGCAGTGGATTCCATTGGCCTATCAACACCGATATAGCATATTTAGCGTTGGAATTGCATACTTTCTGGCCGCACGAGTAATCTTCCCCGCCAAATAAAACGTTGCATCGCCACTTTTGGTGACGCTTCTCAAGGGCGATCCCAAGTAATACTCGCCGAGGTCCAGTGAAGGGCTTTTAGGTCTACCGTTAGTGCTTTTAGACATACGGTAGTGCTGAGATCGTTAAGGGGGACTTTCGAGGGGGCTGTAGAAATTAATAAGAGTAGCAATGGTAGGATAATCCCACTTTTAGGAGACACCAAGTCTTAATTGGAGGGGAGATACTACCAGCTGTACAGAGATAAAGGTGCTAGCCTAAATCAGACATATAATGTGATTAGATCAATGCCAGAGCCCTAAGGGGTATAGTTGGCATAATGATAGCCAAGTCCATTATAATAAAATCCCATTTTTCTTCTACTTATTAGTCAGGTAGTACATTATCGTAGTTTTATCGTACTCTTTCGAACAATTCGAGGTAGGCTAGCAAGGATTATGAATTTAAGCTCATCATGGGCTAGGTTGATAGATTATTCATCGAATGCCATACAAGGAGGCCAAATTGGCCCCAAGAGTAATGATCCTTGCTAGCCTTCCTCGGATTTTTCGAAAGAGTACGACGGACACTGCCCAGTGTCCAGGTGATTACAGCATTAGCTTGTTCAGAGCGAATACGGAGCTATACGAAAGTTACAAGGGTCAGTTCACAAAGGCCTAAAAAATTTAAGGCCTGAGTACCCGTATACGAGAGTTGTCTACTTCGTATATAGCCAGATTCAGTATTAGTATTTAGTCACTTTTTTACTCATAGTCCTATTCAATCTCTCTATCCGTTAGTTTTAGAAGGATACAGATGATGTAATATCTTAACAACAATAATGTCAGTACAAGCGATCCTCTCCTCGAAGCCACCGACTCGCTCCTACAACCTACAATGTTCGCGAATTCACGTTACGCGATAGAATGAATAACCGACCGTCGCAGCGCGATTTTACCTCTGAATTACGAAAGCTTACGAATCTAGAGGAGTTGGTAATTGTTCAATATATCCTTGACCTAGATTCGAAAGGATTTCCTCCCCGCTTGTCCAACCGGTTGCTGAGCGCAATGTAGTACGCGTCGGAGTACGCTAGCCTTCGAACTTTGTCAAACGTCATTAATTAGAACTTACCATGCATTTCAATCGCAAATACGATTATTAGAGGGCTTTTTCCGAAGATCCTGATGAAATGGTGGGTTGGCTTACTCTTGTGTAGAACACAATGAACAAATTCGGCATTCCCGAGGCGGATCACCTCCCTAAGACGCCCAACAACCCTACTGAAGCTTTCGCGCAAACCAATCTCATCAAAGATTGAATTTCTAGACATTAAAATAGCTGGCCAACTGCAATTATCTCAGCAACTAACCAGTTTGCCAAAGGCTCAATGGCAATAATGCACCAACGTATCTACAGTACCTTGAAACACAGCAACTGCCCGAGCTATCTTACGACCTAAGTGATGTACCAGACCTCTCTCATTCAATACCAAGCAATGTTGCGGCTGCTAAAGATGCTGCGTTGGAGACTATGATTGAGTTGCACCGTCTGCTACTGGGCCCTTTAGGACTCCTGCTAAGTGCACCTGGTAAAGTGAATACAAAATACCCGTCTCTTAACATTTTGACTGGCCTGTGATGGCAATGTCTACTTCTTAGCTTGCAGTATGTATACAAGCACAAGCTTGCTACTCTCGTTCCGGTGTCGACTGGAACGACATTCCAAAATATGGTAAAAGAACGTGGACTCAACATCAATGATGTGCAGCGCTTTCTGCGTGTAGTAATATCATACCATATCTTCAGTGAGCCCCAGATAGGAGGATATGTCGTTCATTTTGCAGCTTCGAGGCTACTAGTTGATAACTTTATGCTCGAGGCATGGATCATGAATATTGCTGATGAGTTTTGGCTCTCTCTGTCCCGAGTATGCTTCCTCTCCATCTTATCAAGTGCTAAACATCTGATTTTTCTAGACTGAGGTGTCAAATGAATCAGTATGTCTAATGTTGAAAGTAGTCAGTTTCCGCAGTGATGGCGCTATGGCCTAATTGGTGCTAGTGTCAATTCGTAAGGTGGATACACCCCACGAAGGGCACAACCTTATTCAAGCTCTCTTCAGTCAAACAACAATACGATGAACTATACCCATAATTCAACTAATTCATTCCCCACCGTGACCATATTTAAACACCTAAGTACTTTGAACCGAATGTATAATGATTCTATTTACATATCTCAGGGCTATTTCATCGCATACCATACTGACGAGAATCCGTTCGATTTTATCAAGAGAGACCCAAAGAGACAACAACAGTTCATCGATGCAATGAGCTACTCCCATCTTCATTCATCTTACAGTATGAAACATCTCATCGCAAATTTCGATTTTAGGTCCATTGGAACCGGTTCAATAGATGCTAGCAAATCACACGCGCAATTTAGCATTGCAATAGCACAGAGATTTCCTGAGGTAAAGTGCCTTGTGCAAGACTTACTTGATGCTGTAGCGATACGAGTGAATGAGCACAAGTGAGTGCACTAGCGCACTCGCGCACAAACATATTGCAAGTAGCTCTCGTAGCTCCGAATCTAGAATAGGATACACACAATATCATCATGAAAACGTCATAATCACCAGCGAGGTGATACCAACAGATACCATTGCCGGGCTGGATAGCAAACTGACGCGTAAGTGGAATGGAACTTGATTTTCTTAACTAACAGCCTGTTCAAGGAGGCTACGTCTACCTCTTTCGATGGATCCTTCATGACTGGTCGGACAAATATTGCGTCAAAAATACCACATGGGCTAGTTCCAGCATTGTAGAAAGGTGCTAAGTAGTCATCAATGATATCTGTATCCCCCAGCCCGGGCAGCTGGATATTGCTTCTGATAGAGCTTTGAGGTAAGAATCTTTCTTTGCTTCTTGGGTGGGAGTAGTATCATAGGGGCCTAATTCAATCAAAAAGTATCTGATCTGACATGTAACAGGCTCATGGACATTTCGATGAAGGCTTTCAATAATGCTAGAGAACGGGACTCCCCGATCTGGGCCTCCTTGTTTTCACGAGCTGATCCTAGGTTTCAATTCACGGGATTTACTGTTCCTCCCGAAGCCAGGATGACGATTATTGTCGCCGAATGGACACTGAATGAAGATATGATTGACTGCTCTCATGAACTGGCAAGCTCTTTTTTTGCAAATTTCATGGATAGCTAGTAATTTTATATCTCATCGAGTCTTAAATTTCCTCATCATAGAAAATCTACACTTTGCGCGCTGTCAATTGTTCCAAAGTCCAGAGTGAAGACCATCGAGTACTTTGATGATTTTCTAATCTTCAAAAGCCTTGTGCTTACTTCGCATTCTGAATGCAACTCAAGCCAAAGAAAGAGTCAAGATGGATATAGCTCTCAGTCATAAGGAAGAACAGTGTAGTGTCAATTGAATTGAATCATGACTTCATCAAGAGTGCGGGACTTACAAAACTTTCCAAACTTGACTGCAAGCAAAAAATTTCATCTCAAAATAAACAAAATACAGCTAAAGATAGCTAGGTTACTTGAAGATTCTGCCCTACAGGCTTTTTGTTACGAACGATACAAAGTCAGCTCCACATCTGAGCAAGTTCACAAAAGAAAGAAGAGATCATGTCAGCTCAATGACGTCAAATCTACAACTGCCACCATAATCGTTTTCCTATGCTTTCTTCCAGATCAAACGTACTTGATCGGCATCGCGCATCCTTAAAAGTAACTCCAGGTTGCAGTTCTGTGTTACCGCCAAGGCTCTCTCTTGTGCCTTCCAAGGACTTTCGTTATCGTTTTGAACAACACTCACCTTGTGATCCCGCAACAAGACTGTTAGAACGGTAGCAAACTCGACCTGAGAGAACTTCTGTCCAGGACAGTTTTGTGGGCCATCAGACCGAGGGAAAAATGTACTGCCAGCAGGGGTTATGATTTTTTCTGTACCCAATAGAATAGTCTGAGAAGATAAGTCTGACGAAGATTCAATCCAACGCGATGAGTTCCAAATCAAAGGATCATCCCAGTACTTTGGATGCATTTCCAGTCCAAGTATACTAGGCATTACTCCTGTACGAGGTGGTATAACTATTGTTCTATCCTCTACCCTGAGTACCTGTGGATTATCGTTGCTCCCTTTCGGGAGTGCCATGATGGGGGGAAACTGTCTAGGGTCTCAAGCTATATCAAGATTCAGAATGATCGGGTTAAATTGAATAAGATAATTGGAAGAGAAGAAAATTACATACCAAGACAGCTCTACATCTATTGAGCTTCTCGAACACCTTTTCGTATTCCCGACCTTCATCGACAGAATCTTGGGTAACATCTCGCAGCTCTTCCGCAACCCAATCTTGGATTTCGGAATGGGCTGCAAGCAGAACCATGCTGAAAGCTAATATATTTGCAGTAGTATCGTGCCCAGCGAAGTTGATCACAAAGATATTTCCAAATGTTTCATCGACTGTGAGACCTTTGGAAGTGATTGTGCTGTCTGTCGAGACGAAGCGGTTTCCTCTTTCTGATGAGCCCCTAAAGCTCTCACAAAAGATTTCATCAAAGTTCCATTGCCTGCCTTTCCTTCTTTAAGCGAGGAGGACTCCTCGTCCAACATATTCTCCATATATTTCTTGAAATCCGCGGCCGCTCGACCTACTCGTCTCCAGGATTTTGGCGTAAAAGGCAGTAGTAAATATCGAAAAGGAATGATTATGATCAGTATCGCATTGTCCAAGACAGTTTGCAACGCATCGCGATAACTGCCAGCTTCATCGTGTCTGGCTTAGCCAAAGCCGTGAAACTTGTATGATTTTCAAAACCCAGTTGCAGCAAGGATATTCAAAGAAAGAGTTCGTGTATATTTAGCAGTGGATGTCTCTCGAGGTGTTGAACTTTGAGTCCACATCTTCAACATGTCTCTCGTTTGCTTGACTGACTTCTGCCAAACAAACTTCATGATATTCTCGTTGAAGGGTGTCGCCAAAACTTTCCTGTACCGTGGCCACTCGGACCAACTTGCTGTAGATATACATGGCCTGTAAACCTCAAGCAGTGCTAAATTGACTTAGTTTTTTTGATTGTGAAAGCTGCTGATAACTTACTATACATCTTAGTTGAACGGAGAAAGTCTCCACGCCGAGTAAATATCTCATGTACGTCATCAGGATCCGCACAATAGATATAGACATCGCAAGGGGTGACAAGTGCATAGACTGGAGCGTATTTCAAATGGGATGTTGCTTTGTCGTGAAAATGTCAGCCTCGACGTGAACAGTAAGAAATTCACTGAAATCTATGGGCAACCGGTCAAGGTGACGCCAGAGAGATGGCTCCAAGATTAGCCAAATGAAGTTCATTGGGTCCACAAACAGCCGGATGGGAGGAATTCCCATGGTTGAGGCACGGCGATAATTGATTTCTATCGCAATGATGCTCCATCTCAAATACACCAGACCGAATCCGCTAATAATTTTTAAAATAATGTCCTCTGATTTGCGAGATGTGTGTTTAGAATGATTCCGGCACCGAAAATCGGATTTACTGCGGTTTTCTCTCGTGAGTGGGAAGCAGGCTAATTGAATGCAGAGGTCCTCTTATGGAGAATTTGAATATGAATTTCATCAACGAAGTAAGTGGCAAAGGGAGCTAGGACCTCACAATGGTAGGTTGCTAGTGAGGATTGGGCATATATTTATTTCTGATAATCTGGAAAATCTACCAGGTAGCTGCTGTACTTTCTATCTTACCGATTGTTGGTTGGCCAGTATTCTTGACCTTTGCTGTGCCTCTCCCCACTATAGAAGTGAGAAAAAGGTGCCTGGGCTCGCTACGCCGCATAGTCTCCGTGCAAGTTGATAGTTGAATATCGCCAATAATGCAGTAAGAACCGTTTTTGAACAGCAAAGACAATCGATTATTTGAACGGGGTGACTTCAATACCCTTGGTTTCTTTGCATGTAAAAAGAAAGGTCTTGCCGCTCGAGTGATGGGATTGAACCTTGTATGTACCTTGTCGAGCTCGAGGCCAGAACAAGGCAAAGTCTAAGAAGATCACTTCAAAGAATGAATTAGTTCCATTTGGTCTGTTACGTCTATAGTGAGAGAGGTCACTTTTCAATCATCATATATTACTGTGATCAAGGCAGATAAGCATCATACTCATTGTGCTCTAGAAAGTTCTTCATATCACAATATCTTGAAAAGCAAGTCATGCTATCCGATATACTTGATAGTGCGGCCATAATTTGGTATGAGAGGGCTCTGGGAGACAGCTGGAGTGGATTTCTTACATTATCTTACCGCTATTGAGTTTACTCGCATGGAGAATTAGGCTGTACAACAGGTACCTGCGGGGCAGATAATAACCTTGATAGATAATCCGCGAATAATTCGTCTGTAAAACAAATAATTCAGAATCTAAACAAATAACCTATAAAACAAATACAAATTACTTATAAATATTTATTTACTTATATATTATATAATTATTTATAATCTTTTATAATATTAATATAATTTTATAATTAATATAAAAATTAATATAAATCTAAGCTTGAATCACTTTTGAACTGGAAAATAATCTAAAAATAGCTTTATATTTTAAGCGAAAAAAGCAGAGAATCTATATATCTATAGATTATTTACAAATAATCTATAAATTATTTATAAATAATTCATATATTCGCAAATAATTCACCTATTTATAAATAAATGAATTATTTGTAGATAATCTATAAATTATTTATACAAAGCAGGTAATTTTAAAGTCTCAATAAATAATCCGTAGAGTAAATAAAACCTTTAATAAATAATCTATGAAATAGATTATTTGTAGATAATTTATAAGTACAGATAATTTGTGCGCAGCCTATGAAGAATATGGAGTTTCAATATCCTCTCATCGCTCAACAGCAGCAAACAATTGTATTTTCCATACTGGATTCCATGTTAGTGCTTCATCCATTACTCATGATGTCTAGATTTCCATATGGCTAATACTCTATGTTATATAGATTTTGGTATGCCCGTTCATTTCACTTCAAACTCAGCAAAGGCCATTGACTCATAGGTTGTGTCTCTCAGGCCACACGCTGCCATTTTTTTATATAAAAAAAGTTCTACATCTTTGTACGCTGCTAGGAAGTGAGCACCTGATTTATCCCAGGCCTTGAAGTTTTCGTTCTGATTATTCTCAAGGAAGTACTTCGACAAGTTCACTACTCCATTTATGCTCTACGTTGGGGGCAAGAGCTTTGTAGTTATCACAGCACCAACCGATATCTCCACGATTCTCAATGACAACGTTTCATTTTCCTTCGATCCCTTCATCGACACTGTAAGTAGAGGCGTGGGTGTTGATGTTTCGAGGAAATGCAACGAGCTGCTATGGCGGACCCCAAAAGAAGGTTTTGTCTCGCTCTGGCCCAATCCAAAGGATCAGGTTCTAGTGCATACCGGTAATGCACTTCTACACAAACAATTTTTACAACCTGCCTTAGTTCACCAACTGTCTGGGATGGTACTCAAATACATTGTGAAAGCACGCGTTGAGATGGATTCTCTGAAAGTAATGACATTGCTTCAAATGCGAACCAGAAAGTCGTCTCTCTTCATTGCTGGTGCAGAGATATTCTCATTACATCTCAAACACGCGCATTCTTTAGCGACTACTTTCTTGAGCTCGAACCCCGGATAACACAACTTTTCGACGACTGGGACATAAATGCCTGGATGATAACGTACCAAATCCCCAAGTTCGTGGCCAATTTAGCTACTAAACCTCGTGATAAACCAATCAAGGCACTGGCTCAATATCTTGATGCTCCACGGGAAAGAAGAGCCGGAGGAGCACTGTTCGTGAACGAGCTCGAGGACGAGGAGCGCAACGCGGGACTCTGCTTTGACGACTGCGCTAGAATTTTGATGATTATACTGTGGGGGTAAGTTGGCATGATACGCTAACACACAGGAGGAAGCTACTTTGATTTCATGCAGTGTGAATAGCAACGTACAAATGACCACATTTTGGACAATGGCCCATATATTAGCTCGGCCAGTCCTTCTTGCTAGGATTCGACACGAGATCGCACCCGTCATGGAAAAATTAAGCCTCTCGAAAACGCAAGTCGAGATGCTATGGGGAACTCAATAAAAAGCGATTTGGTCAAAGCCTGCCTACTTCTATACTCTGCTGTTAACGAAATACTTCGGGTGTCTCCAACTGGCTCTTCGGTCCCTAAAGTCGTCAAGCCCATCACCGACCCCGTGACAATTAAAAGATTTTATCAACATTCATTATAACATAGTTTAACACCAAGTGGGCTATATCACCAAGTGAGTTACTTTTATCTCAATTTACACCTTCAAATACAAATTATTCAATAATTATTAAATCAATTAATTTAAATTATTAAGAATCTAATAATTTAGGATCTATTATATTATTTTAACAAATTCTTATATTATAATTTATCTTTTTATATTTACTATAATATTAATTAGAAAATGCTTTTTTATTAGAATTTCCCTTTTTTTGATATTTATTGTATTGAATCTGAATATCAATCTTTTACTGAGATAATATATTAAAAAAAATTTATTCAATAAGTACTCCTTTTTAATGTAATTAGGTTTTTTTTGTATGTTGATATTTGCTTAATGCTTTATTTACTGTTCAAAATGTATAATTCTTTATATTTAAAAGTATGTTTTTATAAGCTAATCTTTCTATATTCTTAATTAAAACTAATATAATTTCGAATATAAATATAGAGGAACTTATTTAATAATAAGTTATTTAAAATTTAATTAATATTGATTAAAAAAGAGCTTTAATTAGATTATAAGGGTTTAAAAGATTTATTAATTTAAATCGAAAAAGGAAGGGGTAGATATACGAATTCGAATATCTAATTTCGAGAGTATAGCTTTAAAATTAAATAAAATTAAATCTATTCCTCGAAATTCTGATTTTATATTCTAAAAAATAATTGATTTCTTATATATAGTTTTAAAAGCTATAAAGAATTTAACCTTCGAAATATAATTAATATATACCTTAATAAATCTATTAATTTGATTATTATATAAATATTTTAGATTATTAAAATAATTAATATTAAGTGATTGAATTAAATAATTTAAATATAATAATAAATATAAATATATAATATCATTTTCTTTATAGTATATTTAAAAAACTATTAATTTATAACTTTTATATTTATTTAGTATTAATATTTAATATTTATTCTTTTTTCAATTCTTAATATACTTATTAAAGTACTTCAATTATTTTAAATCTGTTTCATTATTTGTTTACTTATTAGATATAGGTTTAATAATCTATTTTATAGGAAGATTAGTTTTAGTATATTAATTAAAAAGATGGATTTATCTCTAAATCATTAGAAATAGGAGAATAATTTCGCTCTTTTTATTTCCATATATTATTATTGTAGTTCATTCTCGATTACCTAATTATATAAATTTACTTTTACTATATTTCTCAGCATTAATAATAATCATTACTATATATATAATTCTCATTATAAAGCCTGTTTTATCAAAATTATAAAAATCTCTATTTAAAATGCTATATTTTATTTATATATTTGTAATTAATTAAAATCATTTTTTAATAAGTTTGAAATCCTTATAAAAAAACTCTTTGAAATTATAAACATAATTAAAACATATCTTTAATTTGATTTAATATTTTACAAATCGATATATTTAAAACTTTCCAATATATTTTATATTTTTCAATTCAAAAATATAATTCGCTATATCTTCTATATTCTTAAATTTAAATAAAAAACCTTTTAAATTCATATCAAGAATATATTAAATAAATACCTCCTCTTCTAATTCAATCAAATTATAACTTTTTAATCGATTTTCAATTATATTAAATTTACCTCGAATTCTATTTTTCAATATAATTCAAAGTATACAATAAAATTGAACTACTTTTCGAATTAATAATTTTTTGTTTAATTCAATAGTTTGAATAATTAAGATTATATATACTTCTTTAAAATAAATTTTTATAATTAATTAAAAAGAAAATACATATTGAATATAGAATAATAATTCGAAATAAAAATGATCGATTTATTAATATAACCGACCCACTGATAAACTACATTATAAGTTTTAATAATAAATTTAACTGAATAAGCTTTTTTTTTTACATAAATAAGCTTAATTAATAGCTATTATATAATAAATATTAGAGTTTAATATGAAAATCGAATATAAATATTAATTAGAATGTTTAGATTATTATTATTTATATTAGAATTCTTTTTATATTAGATTTGATCGGTTAAAATTTTCGTTTTAATATAATAAAGTTCTATTATAGTTAAGTTAGGCTGCGTATAAATTATCTATACCTGTCACGGTATACACATGATCGCATCTAATCGGGTTAGTACGGTATTAAGCTTCGAGTTAATTATATATATAGCTTTATAGTACATTTTTTTTAATTCTATAACTTTTAATTTTAAGATTGATTTTTAAACATTTATTAAATTTGTTATATTATTAAAAACTTTTTTAAATAAGAAATAGAATAATATTAATATATACTCATAAATAAAGCTTTTATATATACTCTATTTACTCCTATCTAAATATATTGCTTTTATTTTCTCACTTATATATAAATCTTTTTAATATTATTTGAAAATATTATCTTTTTTCTTATCCTTAATTTCTTAGTTATAAATTACAATTTAATAAACTTTATAATTATAAAACTTTATGATGAAATGATTTGTTAGTAAAATGAAATCTCGTTTTTATATTTTTTAATTCTTAAATATGTTTTTACTATTCAAATGTTTTTTTAATTGAAACTCTTTTTTTTTTTTTCGAAAGGTTTAGTAGTAGTTTTTAAAAATTTGATATATAATTATCTTCAATTTAAATAAAACTATAAATAGATGGTACTATAACTAACAACTTTATTATTCAATTTTATTATATTTATTTCAATTTTGAATCTTATATATAAATTATAATATTATTTCAGCTTTTTTCTTTCAATTAAAATATTCTTTTAGATTATATAACAATCTTAAATCAATTTATATATATTTATAACAATTCAAATAAAGTGTAGGAAGTGAAAAATAAATTATTTAATTTTAAGTAAGAAATAAATTCTTTATATATCTATATTATGAAATTTGAAAGGATTTTTTACAAAGCAAAAGACTAGAATTAATTCAATTTAAATAAGATTTCAATCTTTTATAATGAATTTAATATTACTTTTAGAAATCGTTTTTCTTAATAGCTTTTATTATCTTATTTGTATTTCGACTTTGTTTAGATTATATAATAACTAGCTGTATATATAATAAATTGTTGGGCAGACTTGGTAAGGTGTGTATACATAATCTATATGGTTAAAAGGGTTGTTTATTTCTGTCTATTCTTTTCGTATAAAAAAGGAATTGCTATATCTATATATGTGGGGTAAAGCATGACATGTAATGTCACGTTGTTGGTCACGTGTTCCGACATAAATAGATTTTCTGTATTATTTTATTTTAGTGAACTTAGAGTTCTATATTTATTATAGAATCCATCTTATTTTTGAAATTACAATCTAATAGGTATTAAAAAATTTAATGTTCTTAATGTCTTTAATACTTTTTTGAATAAAGCTGATTATATTCTGATTTCATTTTATATTAGAATATCTGAGTTCTTTTCTACTAAAAAAATTCAATTATGTAAGGAAAACAAATATATTTGATGTAAAAATACTTTTTATTAGGTATAAGTTTATTTATTTAATTTATATTAAGGTATTTAAGATTAAAAGAATTTATCCCAATTATTATATTTATTTTTATTAATTTTTATAACAATAATAATGATAAGGATTTAAATAAAATAATCAATAACTAATATTTTAAAGATTACTTAGAAGAGGTACAAACTTCTACTAACATTTTTTATTTGATAATAATATATTTAGCCTTTTAAGGTATTTTATAAAAAATAAATAAAGAAAATGATGATAACAATAATAATAAAAAGTTTTATTGATTATATTTTATATTTAAGTTGTTTGTTTAAAATGAGTTTAAGGTAAACTGTTTAAAAGAGGAGGGTAATGTTACAGTATATACATGATTATATTCAATTGAACTAATACAGTACTAAGCTTCGAATCAATTGCATATATAGCTCTATAGTATATTCTTTTTAATTCTATAGCTTTTAATTTTAAGGTTAATCTTTAAATGTTTATTGAGTTCGTTATAATACTCGTGGATTATCTACAGATAATCCGCTCCATAGGTTATTCATCAGAGATTCTACTCACTTTACGGATTATCTATTAAAACTTTAAAATTACCTGTTTTATATAAATAATCTACAGATTATCTATAAATAATTCATTTATTCGTAAGTAGATGAATTATTTATAGATTATTTATAAATATATAGTTTATTTGTAGATAGTTTACAAATTATTTATAAATAATCTATAAATATATAAATTCTTTGTTTTTTTTTTAAAAAAAAATATAAAGCTATTTTTAGATTATTTTTCAGCCCAAAAGTAATTCAAGTTTAAATTTATACTAATTTTTATATTAATTATAAAATTATATTAATATTATAAAAGATTATGAATAGTTATATAATATATAGGTAAATGAATATTTGTAGGTAATTTGTACCTATTTTACAGATTACTTATTCAGATTTTTGAATTATTCACTTTACAATGGATAATTCGTGGGTTACCCACCGAGGCCATTATCCGCCCCGCGGGTACCCGTTGCGCAGCCTAATTATAGTTACAGGCGCCGTCGCTTAACAGGGGTCTTCCTGGCCAATCAAAATGTCAGAATTCATGTAATATTACTTTTATTAACGTAGTTTAACACCAAATGAGCTATATCACTAAGTGGGCCACTTTTATTTCAATTTATACTCTTTATATTCAATATATATTTTATTAACCATTTATTATAAAATCTATAAATAAAGAAGCATATTTACTTTTAGTTATTAAAGCTCTTTAAAAAATAAAAAACTAAGTATTTAATAAATTACTTAACTATATAATATATCTTATATAATAATTAGTTATAAAATGGATAATTTACTTTTGTA